CACTTATTCCTCAATTTGATTACATTATTGTAGCAATTGAACATTCTAAAAATTTATAAACCATGACAATAGAATAGTTAAAAAGTAGTTTAGAGGCACATGAGTTACGTCTGACTGAAAGAGCTTCTAAGAGGGAAGCTGAGCAGGCTTTGAAGGCTTCTTTTGTCAAGAAAGACCAGAAAGATTCTTGGTCAGAAACTAAGAATAAATGTGGTGATAGATTCTAAAAGTCAGAAACTTCTACTTCTGATGAGAAGAATCCTCATAAAGGTAAGGAGAAGTTTGACAAGAAGAAGGTTCAATGTTACTGTTGCAAGTAGTTTGGCCATTTTGTTAAAGATTGCTAGTCAAATAAGGGAAGGAGATCAGAAGAAGAAAATATAGCCAGAGGAGATTCTAATGATGAACATGTGCTATTGATGGCTTCTGAGTTTGATGGAAAGTGTTTGGCAGACTGGTGATATATGGACATTGGTTGTTCAAATCACTTGACTGGAAACAAACAATGGCTGGTAGATTTTGACTCCAGAAGGAGAGCAAAAATCAGATGTGCTGATGATAAGTACCTTAATGCAGAAGGTATGGGAAATATCAAAGTTAAACTGAAGAATGGAAAGACTGTTCTGATCAAGGATGTTTGATATGTTCCTGGAATTAAGAGAAATCTGATGAGTGTGGGTCAGATCGTTGAGAAAGGTTTCTCAGTTATTATGAAGTACAATCTATTGAAGTTGTATGATGCTAATCAGAAGTTGATTATGCAATCAGAACAAGGAAGCAACATGACATTCAAGGTGAATGTAGAGGCAGCAGAAGTAGAATGTCTTGGTTCAGAAGATATTGAAGCTGATAGTAAGATGTGGTACAAGAGGTTCGGGCATATGAACTACAGAAGCTCAGGGCATATGAGTTCTAAGAAGCTCGTAAGTGACATTTTGAAGATTGTGAAGCCTGAGAAATCATGTCAGGTATGCATGAAAGGCAAGCAACCCGGATTTCCATTTGTGTCAGAAGTAGCTCCAAGAGCAAAACATGTTTTAGGAGTAGTGCATTCTGACGTGTGTGGACCATTTCTAGAACCTTCACTTGGAGGAAATATATATTTTGTGTCTTTTGTGGATGAGTTCACAAGAATGACGTGAGTAACACTCATCAAGTTTAAACATGAGGTGTTTATCGAGTTTCATAATTTTAATGTGAAGGCTGAGAAACAAAGTGGTCAAAAGCTGAAGATTTACAGAACGGATGGTGGAGGAGAGTATAACTCTACAGAATTCCAGAAGTTCCGTGATCAGAATGGAATTGAGCATGAGGTTACTGCTCCTTATACTCCTTAACACAATGGTCTTACTGAAAGAAAAAATCGTACTTTTCTTGATATGACTAAAAGCATGTTGAAAGAGAAAATCTACCTCGTAACTTGTGGGGAGAAGCTGTAGCCATGTTAGCATATGTGTTCAACAGGTGTCTAACAAAGAAGCTGAAGGAAATTATTCCTTTAGAAAAGTGTACTGAAGACAAGCAAAGAGTTTTTAATATGAAGGTGTTTGGTTCTGTATGTTAAAACACGTTCCAGAAGCTAGAAGGAAGAAGTTGGATGATAGAAGCAAAGTAATGATTTTGGAAGGGTACCACAGTACAGGTGCATACAAGCTTTATTGTCCAAAAATGTCATTGTAAAAGATGTCATTGTAAAAGAATCAGAAGTATGGGATTGTAGAAAGTCTCAATCTATTTATAAAGATAATCCAGAACTTGATAGTTCTGAAGAAGAGACAGAGTTAGATGATGATTTTGGAAACTCTGAAGATGATCCAGATGGTGAATCTAATTCTGATCCAAAATTTGATGATGATTCAGAATCTGGTGGTGGTCATGCTTCTGGAAGGGAAAACTCTAAAGACGTAGGTTCTGGAGGACAAGCTTCTAAAGATGACCGTGTTTCTGGTGAAGATCACGATTTTGAAGGTGGAACTTCAGAAGGTAGAGGTTTTGAAGGCAATTCATAAGGTAGAACTTCTGATGGTAGTCAAATATCTAATATTGTTCCAGAATTGGAAAGATTTTTTGAAAAAGTTTGGAGGTCACAAAGAATTAGACGAATACCAAGAAGGTTTGAAGAGTTTGACATGTTGCAAGATACTAAAGTAGATTCAGAAGGAGAAATTGTTCAGTGTGCCATATTAGTAGACTTTAAACCTGTGAGTGTTGAAGAAGCTCTCAAGAAGAAAGTATGATTGAATGTCATGAAAGAAGAACTTAAGGCTATAGAAAGAAACAAGACCTGGAAGTTGACTAAGCATCCAGATAAGAAGAAAGCCATCAACATGAAGCTTAAGCTAGATGGATCAATTGGCAAGCACAAAGCAAGGCTAGTGGCTAGAGGTTTTCTTCAGAAACCTGAGCTAGATTACTTTGAGGTGTTTACGCCTATTGCTAGACATGAAATAATTAGACTGGTGATTGCTTTAGTTGCAAATAGAATTTGGCCTCTGATGCATCTGGATGTGAAGTCTGCGTTTTTGAACGGTCAATTACAAGAAAAGGTATATATGTCACAACCTCCTAGATTTGTGAAAAAGAATCAGGAATGGATGGTGTACAAATTACATAAAGCTCTGTATGAATTGAAGCAAGCGCCCAGAACTTGGAATTTGAAGATTAATTCATTTTTCAAGAAATAAGGTTTTCAGAAGTGTGAGATGGAGTATGACGTGTATGTTCAGCATTCTGAAAGCAATATGATTTTGGTATGTCTTTATGTATATGACATATTACTGACGAGAAGTTGTTCTGAAAAAGTTATCAAGTTCAAGAAGACTCTGATGAATGATTTTGAGATGATTGACCTAGGAAAGTTGGTTTACTTTCTAGGAATGGAGGTATTATACTCTGAACAAGTATAATTTTGCATCAGCTGAAGTATGAACTTGAGCTTCTAAAGAAATTCAAGTTTGAGAATTCTAAGGCTGTTGTTACACCGTCTGAAACCAATCATAAATTGGATTCTGACTCTAAGGATGAAGACGTAGATGTTACAACGTTCAAACAGTTGGTAGGTTCTTTGAGGTATCTGTGTAATACCAAACCTGATATTTCTTATGCGGTTGAATTGGTTAGTAGGTTCATGAGTAAACCTAAGTGGTCACATTACCAAGTTGCTATCAGGATTCTGAGGTATATCAAGGGAACTCTGAAGTTTAGAGTACTATTCACTTCTGAAAGAAAAACAGATTCAGAGTTGATGAGTTATTCTGATTCTGATTGGTGTGGAGATAGAGTTGATAGAAGAAGTACTTCTGGATACTTGTTTAAGTTTCTGGGAGGTCATATTTCTTGGTGTTCCAAGAAGCAATTTGTTGTTGCTCTATCAATGTGTGAAGTTGAGCATATTACAGGTGTTATAGCTTCATGTCAAGATGTGTGACTTCTGAATTTACTGCAGGATCTGAAGATCAACGTAGATAAGCCTTTGAAGCTGGTGATTGATAACACGTTTGCAATCAATCTTTCCAAGAACTCGGTGCTACATGGGAGAAGCAAGCATATTGAGACAAAGTCTCATTTTCTCAGAAGACAAGTCTATAATGGAGTACTAGAAGTTGTGCATTGTAGCACCCAGAAGCGGCGGACAGATATTATGACAAAGGCAATCAAGACGGATCAATTTCTTCGCTTAAGAGATAGAATTGGTGTAGTTGATTTTAATTAGAAATTCTAAATTAAGTGATGATATTAAATGGTATTTTAGTATCTCTATTTGTTTTAGATAACTTAGTTATTAAGTTTATTCTATTAGGGTCTATGTGATATTCACTTTTGTGTATAAATAGACTAGTTGTAAATGTCACAAAACAACAACATTTTATTCCTCTTACAGATTTTACAGTCGCCGTTCTCTTTGCTCTCTTAATTTAGAATTTTCTTTGTTAATCATTAATTCTTGTGCACTAACATAATTAAGTATAACTCTAAAACTTGTCACATCATCATGTAGTCCTATATGGTATATCCCAAAACTCATTTCATCTTATACATTTACAAATTGAAGGTCACAGGTTCGAACTCTTACAAAGACGGAATAAAATATTATTTTAAACAAATTGATCTAACAAACCAATCATTAATACAACTATATATATTCCCTTAAATTAAAAATAATCTCTCATATTTCAAATATGAAAGAGATGTAGAAATCCAAACATAATAAAATATTTTCTATTTTTCTAAAATTATAGCAATAAAAATAACACTTGAAATAAATATTTTTAATATTTAAGTAGTTCTTACACAATTTTCAAATATAAATCACTTTAAGTTAATCTTAAAAAATAATATAGTATCCAACAATCTTATAAAGGTTGATAAAATAAACATAAATTTCATAAAGTTATTCAAAGTTTTATTTGATAATAATTGTAAAAAACTTTTAATTTTATTTAACACTAAAAATAAATACATATATTTAACAAGTTAAAATAAAATATCTAAATAAAAGATAAATGCAAAAAAAATGAGAATGAAAACAAAACAAAAAAACCACTATATAAATACGTAAGTTTGCAAATTTAAATTACGTATATCACTTTCAATTTACACGCATATATTTTAAATAAAATATATATTTATCTATGTGATTAATTTATATTATTGTCTCTGTTATAATTCACAAACAAAAATTATAATATAAATTTATTAATTATATTTTATCAAAATCAACTTTTAATATATTAAAAATCCAATAAAAAATAAATAAGTTAATTTACAGCGGCGAGTTATATAATAAAAAAGAAGAAAATGAGAGAAGGGAAAACCTTTGACTCTGAAGACATAGACAGAGAGATGGTGCCAGAAGCAACAATAGTACAAATCAATTATACAATCACACATGTAAGATAATAGAAATTTCAACAACTTTGTATTTCCACATCCAATGCTTACCATACACAGCCTAATACTACTATTTCCCTTAACATCAATCATATCATATCTTGAACATATTATCTATGTTTCCATTCTCTAGTGTTTCTTTCTTTCTCTTTTCCATCATCTGTTTCATCAGAAGAAGAGGGTCCCTCAGTATTGGCTTCACTCGTTTGGCTACTTTCTTTTGCCTTACCACCACCATCCATTAACAAAGGTGTTTCACCTAACTCCTTTGAGTTCATCTCTGAGTTCATTATATCTTCAGTTTTGTACTTGTACCAAGTGGCCCAATACAGGAAGTTAAAGAAATTAAGACAGCTTAATATTGCTAAGAACCAATAGAACAAGTTAAGATTGTTTTGATTGAAATCAAAACCATGTAACCAACCTTGTTTACTCGGGGTCACCCTTTTCGTGACAGAATTAATAACGTTAACGAAAATAGTACTCAAGAAGTAACCCAGCGACATTGACAAGAATGTGAATGAAGTTGAAAGTGATTTCATGGTTGAAGGTGCTTCTCTGTAGAAGAATTCCAATAGTCCAACCAGTGTAAACATGTCTGCGATACCGAATATAGCATACTGAAAAGATAACCAAAATAGGCTTATTGGTTTTGAAGGGTCTTTTCTTCCTTGGTCTCTTCTTTTAACTTCAATGATTCCGGCTATCGTCATTGAGATTGAAGAGAGTACCAGTCCAACACCAACTCTCTGAAGCTGTGTAATACCTGAAGGGTGGTTTGTGATTTTTCTCGCAAACGGTACAAAGAAAAGTTCGTAAATTGGAATCAATGTGCATAGGAAAAGAAGTGGGATAACAGGAATGGATGCCGCAGGTACTGTGAAGGAACCAAGTTTAAGGTTCATTATGTTGCCTTGTTGAACTGAGAATGTTTGAAGCTGAGCTAAACATGTGTTCATTACAATTGTACTGGCTAATATTGGTAACATTCTTGTTAGGATTTTTACTTCTTCAACTTGTGTCACTGTGCAAACGTTCCATGGTTGTTGAGGTTCACAAGTTTCTTGAAGAATTGCGGCTTTATCTAGAAACCTGACTCAATTCAACAAACCAAAATCATCATCATTTGAATATACATACATGCATGCATTTATTTATGTGTGTAAAGGGAATTAAATGGGAATGAATGTTTTCTCAACCACAAACAATAAATCATAATCAATTATTGTGCATGTGAAGTTGGTTCCTTAATTTCATCTTAGCAACTTCATCTTCCCTACCCTCTCTAAATAAATAAATAACTCTTATGGCCTGTTTGTTTCCGCGTCAAAGAGGGGAAAAAACGTATATAAAAAACGTATGTTTGGTCTAATACGTTTTCAGGTTTTTCAGCCTCGTGACACGAGAAATAGCATGGAAACGCTGTTCCAAACACATGCTTAAGTGCAAATGTCTTCAATCAAAACTTTACAAAATTGCGGCAACACTATGATTTCGTTGATGCTACGGTTAACCATAATTCCACAAAACTGATCATGATTCCAAACATGTACTAAATACATGTTACATGTTTGGATTGGAATTAGTTTAGTAGAATCACAGTGCACTCTATTGTGAATTCTACAAAAGTTACAATGAAATCACGGTTTCACCGTGATTTTTAAAGATTTCACAGGCAATTCTACAGGAAGTGAGTTAAAAAAGGGAAACAAAGATTAAAAGCAAAAAACATTGGTACTTGACATTTGAAAAGGAAATTTTTTTTCACTTTCTAATCTATCTATCTACAAGGTAAAGGTACTAGTGAGCCACATACCACAAAGAAAAAGAAAAGAAAAAAGTGAAATACTTTTTCAGTGAGTTTGTGTCAGAAAATTTATGATTATCACTTTTTCTTATATTTTGGTGTTAACTTAAAAAGCATAAGAGAGGACATATTTTCCATGATCATTCTCTGTATCTCTGCAACACCGAACGTGTAGAAGTGAGTGATAGTAGGCCCAAATTCTTGGCATCACTTAATAGTTAGTACTTGAAGAAAAAGAATCTTAATAATGTTCTTGACAGTGTAATTGGTCATTGTCATTTTGCATATCAACACATTAATCAATCATTATCACAAAATATTAGTACTAATTAAACACATGAAGATGTAGAAAATAACCTCATTTGGTTTGTGTGTGAAATCTTCTCTAAAGTAACATCCTTATACACTTCATAAAGTTGTTGATTAGTCTCTGGCATTGGTAGCTTTCTGTTCTTAAAAGCCACAACAATAACCTGCATCAAACAATAATGGTTCATTAATCAATAAATTATGCGTAATCAAAAGTCTCTGTGGGTGTCTGTTTCAGACACAAACACAACTTTTTTCAGAGGTGTCTGTGTTACAGAGATCATTAATAAATGAACTAGAGAATAATTACTGACCTGAATAATCCTCAAAATTGGACTTTCGCCAGGAACTTTGATACGGTAAAACGGTTTACCAAGAGCAAGTGTAACAAAACCAATGGAAGAAGAAAGTGTTATGATGAAAAATCCCCAATGCCAAGCTTTTTGTGTGCTAACCCAAACCACACCAGTAACACCAACAACTGAACCCAAAGTTGAACTAAGTAAAAGCCAATTGAAAAAAGTTGCAAGTGATTTAGCTTCATTAGGTTCCTTTTCATCAAACTGATCAGCACCAAATGCTGTCATTGAGCCTCTTACTCCACCCATACCCAAAGCATATAAACACAATGATGTGTAAAACATCACAGCCACACCCCCTTTCACACAGCTTGATTCACCACATGCTTCTGGGTGTAAGTTTTTCAATGCAGCTTGAACTGTAATCATCACCAAAGCCTGCACAATTCAAATTCTGAAAATCAAAACATGCACAATACGTGTTCGATGAAATGCCTGACTCAGTTTTTTTATTTTGTTTTATGTGATTGGAACATGGCATTGGGATTTGGAATTTGGATTTTTTGAGATATAATACTTACAATAACTTCAAGTGATCCAAAAAGCAAACATGTGGTTAATCTGTTGAAATAAGTATCTGAGATGAAACCACCAACAAGGGAGAGCAAGAAAGTTGAGCCCATGAAATTTGTGAGAGTGTTTGCAGAGCTTGAAAGATCAAAATGCATCACTCCATAAAAGTACAGAACTAAGCTCACCATGTTTGCAACAAAACCCATGTTATCCAATGCTGACAAAACTGCATCAACAATGAAGAAAAAATGGTTACGAATGAAGAAAAAAACATCAAATTTGCTTCAAAAAGTTTTGCTTTTCTTGCTTACCAAAGATGAACATGGAAGCTCTGAAGCCACCGTTCTGTTTCTTCCATTGAATGGCAGGTTTGAGTTCTTGTTTTACTTCTTTGTCTCCCTGTATGAACATGTTCCAAATTCAACAAAAGGAAACAGAAAGAAAAGAAAAAAAACAGACAGAGAGTTATGTAATGAATTGAATGAAGGTCTTAAGTTTGTTTATACCATAATGGAGAAAGTGTGAAAAGTTTCAATTTTTCAAACAAGAACAAGATGTTGTTGAACATATAACCCAAAAAAATGAAAACTTTTGAAACAAGCTTTGAATTTTGATCATAAAAAACCAACAAGTTTTTTAATGTCTTACACTGTTTGGTTCTGTTCTTTGGTATTTGTCTTCCATTCTATTTAACATGTTTTGTTTCACACTTTTTGCTACCTTGGTTTCTGTGCTTTCAAAAAGTAATGCTTACGTTTGATTTTAAGGTTGTTGTTGATAATTAATGGTGATTAATGGATGCTAATTCCATCAATGATTTTAATCAAAATTAATCAAGTAAAACATACATACCCCACTGTCATGGTTGAATAATTATGGTTCTGTGGATTTATGTATTTGTAATTTTGATATCACTATTCCTGAATTAGAAGGTTTCAGTAGAGTTTTTGGGTCAAATTGAAAGTGAGATTTTACTTGTATAAATTGGTAAGACTTTTTTCTGCTTTATACATAGCATGTGAATGTGATCTAATGTCTGTGTCTCATCATATTCTCATTTATTTATGTATTTAAATTCATATAGTACTGTTTGTGAAGTGTAAAGTTTAATTATTCATGTATCTTCACGTGGGTTCCTTAATGATTTGGTATTAATTTTGTCATAGGAATAATAGTCTTGATAACTTGGTTTGCCATTGTGGAGATGTTAATCAATTTGGTGTGAAATTGTGTTTTTGATAGTTAAGTTGGAAAACACATTAATTTCACAAAAAGTGTATTTGATGAAAACTATCGACATCACCTATCAAAATTAATTTAACACTTAAGTTTATTAATTGAGTAATATTACTGAATTTTTGTCGATTATGTTCAATATTTAAAATTTTTAGAAAAGTAAAATCTTTCTAAAAATATTCTATTTTCTTTAATTATTAAAATATTACCACAATAGTAAATTTATTTTAAATGATCATAAACGTATAATTTGCAAAAATAAAAAAATTACAAAATTAATAAATTAATAAATTAATCAAATTAAAATATGGGTTAAATATGTTTTTAGTCTTTGTAACTATCTCATACTTAATTTTTAGTTTCTCTAAAAAATTTCTTCAAAGATTGATTCTCTTAAAATTTTTAATTTTAACCTTTTGTCACTCATGACAAAATGGTTGTTAATTTTGTTATTAAATAAAAAATCGTCACTAATTTTGTCGCTAAATTGTAAAAACCATTGTTAAATTGCAGGTGAGACCAAAAGTTAAAATTAAATTTTTTAGGAGGATCATTCTTTGAAGAAAATTTTTAAAAGAACTAAAATTAAATATGAAATATTTAAGAAAACCAAAAACATATTTAACCCTTAAAATATAAATAATAATTACACATATTTAATTTATTTTTTTGAATAAAGAAATTTGTATTAATTCAAAAAATAAGAAAGTAGATAATAAGATCACCATAAATAACAAATGAAAAACAAAAATAAGATCTAACCTAAAACACTAACTACATCATGAATGGAGCAATGTATGTTCGAAGTTTTTTATTATACCACCCTTTATAGATAATTTTTTTCTATTATGTTATCCACAATATTAGTATTATCTACTATATTATTAAAACATTTATCCTTATGAGATCTCCAAATCTCATAAATAATTTCTGTAATTGTTAACTTCAAAATAAATGTCTTTCAACTTTTATTTTTGCAATGTATCAAGATCCAATTACACTCATCGTGCCATTCCTTAGGTTCGTGCTTCTATTGAATCCACTAGAGAATTCTGGTCCAAATATCCTTTAAAATGGGGCACCCAAAGAAGAGATGATTTAATGTCTCATCCTCAGTACAGGAGCTATAACTCTTAAAGAATACTTCTGGTGTGTTACAAGTTAAGTCAAGATTAAGGAATGTGTTTTATGCAACAGTTCTAAGGAATGTTACTAAAATATCTTCTGATCGTGACTTATTCAAGGAAACTTTGGAGGCCTTCTAGAGCTTTACTTCTGATGTTCCAAGTTCTGAAGATGTTGAAGACAAGGTTATGATGAACGAGTTCTAAAGATCTAAAGACATTCTTCTGAAGATCAAGTGTTGAAGACTGAGAAGGCAAGAGTTCTCTGAACAAGCCTTGAAAGGTTCTAATGACTTAAGTTCTAGAAGATACTAGTTCTGATCTTTCTACAACATGCTTCATCAACAAACATATCAGAAGCCTCTGAAGACATAAAAGACAAAAATCAAGACTAAAGGATTGTGTGTGATGGTATATATAAAAGTACATTGTGACCTCTACTTTCTAGAGTAGCGCTAGAACATACCTTTTTGTACTATTGTCTACCAGTCTCACCATGATCGTTGGAAACAATACAACTGTATTTGTATTTCTTATTCTACCCTCCAACTGATCTCTTCTTTTCGGATATAAAAGAAGTACTTGGAAGAATTTGAAATCAACGAATCAATTCAAAAAAATACACTAAACTGCTTCACAAAAACTCTATAGAGAAATATTTTGTATAGTTTTGTAAATAAGCAAGGATGTGTTGCTTGTATCTTTCTATCAACATTTTTGTGTTTGTATATGTTGTACCCCAAAATTTTCCCTTTCAATTCTCAAGGCATCTCTCACAATGAATCTCAAAATTCAAGCTTGCACAAGTACATTGGGATTTTCAAGCACCAAAATTAAAAGGAAACTGTCAAAAAGGGAGAAAACAGATAAAAATAATATTTTGACAAATTTGGAGAAAAACAAGTGTTCTTCGATTCAGCTCTTTCGATTGGATTTTTGGCCTCTTTCGATGCAAGCTTGGCTTGCATCCTTCGATTGGGCAGTAGCCTTCCTTCGATCTAGTAAGCTTCGATTGGGCAGTAGCCTTCCTTCGAACACAGACTTCGATTGGGAAATAGCCTTCCTTCGATCAAAGTTTGGACTGAGGCAATGTGTTTCCTTCGAGCAGCTTACTTTGATCCATAAGTTAAACCCTTCGACATAAGTTCAAAATTGTTAAACCCCATACAAAACACTTGCTCCAATCCTTCGAATCTCACTCTCCAGACCATGCTTATTGAGACTTGTTTTTCCACTCTTCGATCAGAACATGACCCTTAGAATCTCACTATTCAAAACATACAGAAGCTCTACTCTTTGATCAGAACATGACCCATTCGAATCCAATTATTTAACGTGTAGAAGTTGTGTTCTTCAATCAAAACATGACCTTCGAATCCTCATCCAAGCTTGCCTCAATTTTCCAAGACTGTTGATTGCTTGTTGCACACAAGCTTCGACTGGGCATCTTTTCCCTTTAAAATAGCCTTCTTCAATCCAAAGAGGTAGGGCTTCTCGTCAATGCTCCTTCGAGTGCACCACTATCTTTGCATGCTGACTTGACTCATAAATTCAATAGCTACCCACATTCAAGCTGGATCCTTACTTCGTTTGAGCATTTATTTTCCTTGGAGCAAGTTTATTTCTTACGTCTACTAGGCAAACTATCCCTCTGGGCGTGTGTGATACGGTGGGAGAACTGACTTGAGGATTTGCATTTTATCGCAAATGTTGCGGTTAGCAAGAGTCGCCACCGACTTTTCTTTTATCCAAAAGGAAAGGTAAAAAAGCACAGGAAAGACCTTTGAGATTGTTTCTTGAGTTCGGGGGGTAGATTATGAAAAGGGAAGGTATTAGCACCCTTTTCATCCATGGTTTTCCATGGGCTCTTAGTTACTTGCTAGATCACTTGCTTTTGTTGTTTGAAAATGTGTTTGGTGTGGTTTTTGAAAGTATTTTGTAAAAGATACCATTTGTTTAGGCAACCTTTGTAATGATTCTCGTTCGTAAGAATGTATACAAAGATGTTTGTCTTTTTAAAATGTTTTCAATGTTTGTAAGATGTTTTTGAAATGTGTGTGTGTGTTTGTTTTGAAAATAGCAAGGATATTTGTTTGAAAATAGAGCAAGTAACTAGAAGCAATCTACCTACTCAAATGTCTTTCTTATGCATTTTCTATTCCTTTGACATTTTTGTCTTACCATTGATTTGGTAAACAACCCTATCTTTGGATGTAAACAGGACGGGTGTGGGTCATCGTATAACCATGATTAGCAATGTTGCAAAGTATCTTAGCATTTTTGAGGGACTAAGATCATTTTATAAGGCAACTTAGAATAACGTCATCGAGGGACTATGATCTTTTGATTTTGTTTGTTTTATCAAAATACTTTGCATGCGTAATATGGCTATTTTTGTATAAGGAAACCAAGTGGAGAAACCCTAAGGGTGTTTGTGTACAAAGTGTGTTTGATTGCATGCTTTTGTCTTTGATTTTTTGATGGTCTATTTATTGATTTTATCTTGCATTTACATTTGAAAGCGATAAATTGCAGAAATGTAAAGTCCTACGCTATTACAATATTTAGGGAGTGGGGGTACAAATTTATGAATGGAGATTGCAAATAAAAATAAAGCCCTAAATTACTATTACAACCATATTGAAATACATACAAGAAAATATTAAATGAACTTGTTTTGTTTTAAGAAAATATTTGTTGTCTTTTGTTTTAAGAAATAAAATAGTGTGAACAAAATATTTTTGGTGTTTTCCTGATTAATGAAATGAAGAGTGCCAACGAGAAAAATAAAGAAAATAACAAGGGGAAGAAAAAGGAGGATCGGCGTGTTACTGAAAGGAAGTCAGAGGTTCTGACCCTGGCGTTATGCAGAATAAAAACCTGTTAGTGAAAATGTATATGTCAGAGGTTCTGACCCTGGCACGCTGCAAAACAGAAACCTGTTAGTGAAAATGTATGAGGTCAGAGGTTCTGATCCTGCTGGGAACACAGTAATTTTCAGAAGTTCTGATATTACTGATAACAAAACAGGCTTCAAAATCGCCGATGCCAACGTCAGAACTTGGTCTCTCTCTCCCTTTATGCTAGTCAGAACATCTGAAATTTGGTTATTTCTCCACAAAACAAAAGACATGCCTAGGACAGTTTCAGCAAGTGTCATAGTGTTTTAGAAATAAGGAATATCTGAACCATAAATCAGAGGCAAGTATGCCCTTGCTAATCCTAATTCTGAGTCTTAGTTTTCTTCAGGAAAGTTCTGAACTGATTCATTCTCTACTTAAGCATACAGATGCGTGAAAATCGCAGAACATGTACAACATCATAAGCATGATATCT